AAAAAAAAAAAAAGTTAAAATTGATTGTGGTGGTGGTGGATGCACAACTCTGAATATACTAAAAGCCATTGAATTGTACATATTAAAGGAGTGAATTGTATGATGTGTGAATTATATCTCAATAAAACTGTTTTTAAAAAATCAATAAACAGCTCAACAGGAAAGTAAGCAAAGGCATTCCACGCATTTCACAGAAGAAGAAACATGTATGCACAACAGATACTGCAAAAGATGCTCAACCTCATTCCTAATTGGAAAAATGCTAATTAAAACCACAGTGGGATACCATTGTATGCGCAAAAAAATGTTAAACTCAGGCAATACCACTTCTCCCCACATAGAGGATGTGGAGAAGCAGGGGCAGTTCCTCCACTGCCAGAGGAGTGCGAATTGTGCAGCCACTGTGCAAGGTAAGATGGCACTGGAGAGTTGAAGATGCAAGCACTTCCCACCCAGCAGTTCCCCTCCTGAGTGCATTCCTAAAGAAACTCACGGGAGCACTATAACATTCAAAACCACATAAAACTAAACAATGTATTATTTAGGGGTATATGTAATACACCCATTTTTAAAAAGCAAACAAGAGAAGGATAAATGCAAAATTCAGGATAGTGAGAATGGGAAAGAATCGGGAGGGTCTACCAGGCATTCAGGGTAATGTTCCTTTCCTTAACTTGGGTGGTGGGTATGTAGGTATACACTCTGGGGATACAAGGGTTGGGCAGAAGGCAAAGTATCATCTGACAACCTGACATTGAGGGAAGATTTAGGAAAACTCAGAAGCATACAATGAACAGTTTTTCCTTGCGATTTAAAAATGCTGATAATGCTGACCCTGAGTTTCTAGAAAAGATGAACATATTTAGCATCTTCTATTTGAGAAGCGAAAGAGATAAAATGTTTTTATCCAAGAAAAAGAAAAAAGGAAACTAAGAGAACTACACAAAAAAAGCAGCAGTAGAACAGGAGTGTTTTAGAAAGGTTTCTAACAAAAGTGGGTAACATTAAGAGCTTTGTACTTGGAGGTGAACCTCATTTATTTGGGCCACCAGTTCTTTATTCTTCAGTGATGTTTAAAACACCAGACAGTGCTGTAAGTAAAACCACACGCTCTCAGTTTAGTCACTTAGTGGTTGACTTTCTCTTTTTCAGATCCTGCTCACACTAAAAGATGAACCACAAACACATGGAGGAAGAACCTATTCGCCACTGCTGGATGCGTGACTGAGGGTGAAGCATCCACCAGCACTGCACGGGGGTTCGTAGTATGTTTTTGCTGCCTCAGAGTCCCCAAAGCCTTCAAGCAGAAGTGGCAGGAGATGGTTGCCAATCAGCCAATCCAGACTTTTACTGGTACAACAGGAAAATAGATCCTTTGGCTTTTGATGGAACTCGGAAGTGGGGACATTCAGCTGCTGCGTTATTAACCCATCAGAGCACACGTGTATCTTTTACCTTCCCTTCACCCCACCCCCAACCTGCCTAGGTCTTCTCTGTCCCTTTCCTGCTACTGCACAGAGATGATATAAAAGAGGCTCTTTGGCTATTTGCATTTTGCTTCCTCTTCTTTTCCAGATTGCAGTATTCAGCAATATTGTCTTTGTACAAGCTTGAAATCCCAGCATCATTATCTACCAAAGTTGCTCTTCCCTTTTAAGAGGGTCTGGGGGGAGGGAAGAGCATACATCACAAGTCTCCCAGAGAGAGGAGACCAGTCGGTGTGCTACTGCTAACATGAGCCAGGGTAAAGGTACCCTTTCAAATTACTGATTTCTAAGATTAATAAAGTAATTCTATTTCTATTTTCTTTTTTTCCATTTACTAATTTCCCAAAAAATCAGTATTCACAAACAAGACTGAAGTGGAACCAACTTTTCATTTTACTTTATTGCTGGGCAATTTTTTAAACTTCATTTTAGAAATAGGAGCTATAAAGACATGTTTTTACATTTTGTTTTAGCAGACGGTGGGGCCGAGGGCAGCGCCTGCACCTGGGAAGCCGGTGTGTGCGTTCCTTTCCATCTCCATTCCAGCCCTCAGCAGGCAGGCTCGCCCACAGTGCGGTCCTCCAGCAGCAAGTGACTCTGCACCATCTGCACACTGCTCACCCAGCAGCATCTGAGCGATGCAGCACAGCCCCACGCGCTCCCCTGGACCCTCAGCTCTCCTGCGTGCTCACCTTTCCTAGGTCCTCGCTCTGGCTTCTGCTGGAGAAAAGGTTGTAAGTCGGGCCGCAGAGCCCACTGAAGGATTCACTTAGCTGCCCTAGGGAGTTACTGGGGGAGAATCCAGAGTCTGAGGCTTCTACAAGGTCCTGTAAACTCAGCATTGAAATCCCAAGAGAAAAATGACACCCAAAAAGGCAGAAAAAGGACTTTGTTGCCTTCTTAGTGAATGCAAACAAAGGTTTGGGCACATTGAAGCATTCTGTTTTCTTGTGAAGGATGAGGTCTATTGGTTGCAGGAGAGAAGCGAGAATGTATTCCAGATGTTCCTAAGACTTTTCTAGATAGTAGTTTGAGGACCATCTTAACTGTGTACTTACTTGGTTGTGAGTTAATTAGGAGACACATTAGAATTCCTCATTCCACATGAATCTTATGAAAAAGGATAAGAGGGTATGAGCCCAGTGAAAGAACTTTCAGACCAACAATAGTGCTTAGAATTGCTCTAGGTAACCAATCAAAATGAAATCCTCCAGCTAATTTCTTACTGCTTTCACCATGTGCTGATCAGGCGCTAAGACTCCAGATCTCTCCCTTCATGTATCCAAGAACTTTCAAGTCATTTTTACTTGTACTGGACTTTTCTTGGCAATAAACCAGACAGATCATGTGAGCTCTCCTCCCAACAGAGGTGACATTTCCAGTGTCACTCTTTACTCTCCCCAAAAACAAGTATGTATTTTTGAAGATGGACAGACAATGGTTCAAATTTCTGTGGTGCCTGTCACTGGTGTGGAATGGGAAGGCTGGACTCCAGACCCCTGTCCATATTCATATCTGCTGCTTCACCGAAGAGTAGAGCTCTGACATAAAAACATTTGGAATCACAGTGTGTTCTGTTTTCTTTGGGATGCTTCAGGAAACACATCTAGTTGCCTTGGTTCATTAGGATGAACCACAGGTCAATGTTTTAGTGAAATTAGATAAAAGGGAGGTTTAGGCTAGGGCCAGAAAAATTATTTCCCTCTTCCTTATTGAAGCCTCATGTAGGAGCTGGTGATACCAGATATAATGCAGTGCTTCTCAAAATGTAGTTAGTTATTAGGCAACCTGGACTGCACCCCAATCCTAAAGTTATCTCTAGAGCTGCAGCCTAAAATCTTACTTTTTTTTTTTTTTTTTTGAGACAGAGTCTCACTGTGTTGCCCGGGCTAGAGTGCCGTGGTATCAGCCTAGCTCACAGCAACCTCAAACTCCTGGGCTCAAGCAATCCTCCTGCCTCAGCCTCCTGAGTAGCTGGGACTACAGGCATGCGCCACAATGCCCGGCTAATTTTTTCCATATATTTTTAGTTGTCCGATTAATTTCTTTCTATTTTTAGTAGAGACGGGGTCTCGCTCTTGCTCAGGCTGCTTTCGAACTCCTGAGCTCAAACAATCCGCCCACCTCGGCCTCCCAGAGTGCTAGGATTACAGGCGTGAGCCACCGCACACCCGGCCTAAAATCATACATTTTAAAGGGTGATTCTCATGCCCAGTGCAATTTGAGAATGGCTGCCACAAGCGATAGACTCTGACCCAGGGAGAGAAACAGCCAGGCTGACATGCCAAGCGTTCTGCATCCCTGTCTATGCCCAGTGCCTCTGAGGGCAAGACGGAGCACGATCCCACCAGCCAGGATTTCAGAACAAGGACGTAGCTGCTAAAGGACAGTAGAGGTAAATGGGTGCCGCACGGATGAACACTGAGCAAGAAGCCCTTAGCGTGGGCTGGGCATTGCTGACCAAACTCAGAAGAGTCTTGGAGACTTGGAGAACACCAGAAGAATAAGGTACGCACATACCTATACATGCGTGCGTGCACGCGCACACACACACAGGCACGAACACACCATACACATCCTTCAGCCTGTAAATTTTACCTTCAGATAGACTTTTTTTTTACCAATGGTAAAGTGCCCTCACTAGCAGGGCACGTCTCTCAGGAGCTGCTAAGCGGCCCCTTGCTCTGTGCTCACTCATTACAGATGGCCCTGGGTGGACTTCATACCCCAGTGGAATTCTGCATTGCTCTGGGATCATGGGCTCACAAGAGAACTATGGGACTGTGTTTTTCTTACCCGCTCCCAAATCCCTGATAAGAGACACACAGTCTGGAAAGGGGTTCCTGGTTAGCTCTGTTAGGCTTAACCTGATAATAGAATTAGCCTCATATTCTTAGGCCATTTGCCACCATTTCTCTAATTCTCCATTGATACAGGAGGTGGGATGAGATTTTCAAAAATGGTGTGCTGTTGCTAATTTATAGTTAATGTACAAACCACATTTCCAATGCAAGAGTTCACACCAAGGGATTATGGCCACGTTATCCGGAGATTAAATTCATATACTCCTGCAAATCGGAGCCGCTGCTTCTGTGTGTCTGAGAATAATGTACCCTGCGAGAAGGGAGGGGGCACGAGCACAGCCTTCTCAGACGGCAGAAGTCAGCAGTGCGCCCTCTGGGTAGGACATTCACTCCAAACAACATATGTGACGACTGAGAGATTCTCTGCCCCACGTCCCAGGTGTCTCTGATGAGTACACGTGGACATGGGATTAAGAAAAGGGTAATTAAGGATATTTATCCAGTCAGACGTACACCTTAGAATAAGGCTTTTACTGTTCTAGAAACAATCTTCCAGAAGATGAAATCATCCAAGATTCCCCAAAAATATTTATTTATACAAAGATTTTGAGAGTAATATTTGTATTTGTCTTCATCCCTCAGTCTGTGCATCTGGGCCAAGTCTTGCGTGGCATACGTGCAGCTTCCCCGGATGCCTCACGTATTGTAGCACCTGCTTCCAGGAACACCACATGAACACAGGGTCTCGGGGGGAGGGAGAACACATAATGCCCCGAGGCTGCATGGACCCACAATCCAGACATGTGCACCCTGACCCGGAAGGCGTCTAGCCAAATGTCCAGGGGAAATAAGATCCAGGAAGAAGGCGAGAGGAGGGACCCAGAGGGCAGACAGGAGGGGGTTAATTCTCACTCTTTGCTTCTGAGTTCAGCATATCCATAAGGCCTAGTATAGTTGATGGCCAGTGAACCACATTACCTGGATTTTCTCCCTGTGGTGACCCATACTGCTAATTGATGTAGAGAGGACAATTTGCAAAAATAACAAGATTTGCCCGTAATTGCAGGTAGCACGAGATACAATTCTGGGACTTTATCTTGGTAACCTTTCTGGAAAAAAAAAATGCTTGCTTTGTATAACATAATCCAGATTCCCTAGAGCAAACGTGGTACAGCAATGTGCAAATCTGACCTCAGATCGAAGTGTCTTCCAGTCTGGCCCCGACCCGGCCATTCTCTGCCCTTCCTCCTCCCCAGGGTAGCCCAAATCCCATCGCCACACGACACATCGACTTGCCATCCCCCTTCCTCTATCCCCACCACCTCTGTCTCATCACAGAAAATCTGTGTTCTGAAGAGTTCGGCCTTCCCCTAACCCAACACACACTTTCTTTACCACAGTGATTCTCAGAGCCAGCAAGAAAGAGAAATGTTCCAGAAGGAAACCTCCATCTCAGCCATTTGCCTGGAGCCGCAGGTTGTGGGCTCCGGGCCTCTAGGTGAGGTCTGTTGCTTTTGTTTCCCGAGGAGCGGGCAGTCAGGCACGGCAGTTCTCTCTCCTCTCTCTCTGTCGCGGGCGGGTCTCAGCTACACTTACAAGACTTCACCACCATGTTGGAGAGCTGTTCCACCTTAGGGGTCCTCCCGACATAGTACAGGATGGTCAGGGGCTCCAAGTCCTGGGGCACGCAGCAAGGCGAGGCAGATGCTTCAGGGTTCAGGGTGTTGTACAGTCCCAGCACCTGGGGAGGGACAGATCGTTTATTTAGAGGTCGGAAAGCCAAGCCTCAGGCCTGGAGCCCAAGAATGCTACAAGTTCTAGGGGCTGCCCTAGAGACTTAGCAAGTGGTAGAATGGCCACTGATGCTATTTAAGAGGAACTGTTGGAACACAGTTTGGTTGAGTGACGAGTTACTATTCATCCACAATGACAGAATGCAGAACATCTGCACTTGTTTGAGGGTTATCAGTTGAAACATGTCACAGTTATTGGGGAGCTTTAAATTGATAATGAAATTCTCCTGGCTGTTAAGAAAACAACTCCTATATTGGTCTTCCTAGCTGTAACTGATCACTTTGGTGAGAAATGTTCTCAACATTGCCTTGGGCCATTTAGTGAGTGCCAGGGTGCAGGGCCCCAGACAGGATGCAGTAATAATGAGTACAAGGAAACATGCTTCACAAATTACTGCCCTATTTTTGATTCCCCTTGAGGGAAAGACAAGCTACTTTCAGAGGTTGTGGACTCTCTTCTCTCTCACTTTCATGAAAGTGTTTCATGAAACATTTTTCCAGTGTTTCGTATTAGCTGCTTCTACAAGCTTTTCATTGTCTTTCAGGATAAGTTTTCTACATTCGAGAGGCTGGAATGATCAGAGTTCTTTAACTAATGGGAGAAGCCTTTCTACCCCAACGTTCCTTGCCAACCATGTGCACACATCTCTGACATACAGGCTGGTATATGATAATTAGTTTCCATGGTACAAAAATCTTTAGACAAAGCAAATTAAAAATCTGCTTGAAACCATGGTAGGACTTTAAAAGGGCAGAATGTGACCAAGTAGAAATGCATCAGGGTGCCAAGATCTGAACCTTTATGAGAGGGATTTTATGCACCCCAGAACATCATTTGCTCATTCACCATTCGGTCCTTCGTGGCGTTCTTTTTAACCAGTGGCCTGGTCGGCTCTGCCCCGTCACCCCAGATGGCATGAGCCCGGCTGCCTACCGTGCTGTGGGTTGTGTCCGCGCTGCGGAGGTATGGGCAAGGGCCTGAGCAGAAGTTGGCGTAGTAGCCCTTAGGTTCATGGACCCATTTCCAGCCCAGATCCTGCCGGAAGTCAATGTAGAGGGGGCGCACACAGCAGTTCTCCTCCAAGTTGCTACAATGAAAACATTTATAGAAAATCAACTTAAAAAGGACACCACCAATAAAAGAAACTTGACAAAGGCCCTCATATTTCCCCTTGGAGTCCTTCTATGCCAGCATAGGAGGTGGCTGTAATTAATGGAATCCCATGTTCAAGGGCAGGGGGCTGAAGAAACCAGAAAGGCGTTTTCCTACAGTGAAGACCAGGATCCCAGGGATGCAGTAAGCGGATACAGATGCTGCAGGAGGAAGAGCAAAGAGGCAAAGGTGGCCCTGCCCCCTTTCACATCACAAATCAAAACAGAGACAAAGTGCCACACACACAGCACTACTGTTATCAGCCAGCTCGGCTCTCTTGAGGTTGGTTCCTAATGTGCACCCAACCAGAAAGAAACTCAAAGCTTATGCAGCTTGTGTACCACCGTAGATGACTGCTTAGACTGAATCTAGAGGCCATTTAACCAAGCAAGGCATATCCTCTTATTAGAACCATGATTCCCAGATCACCCAAATGGGATTATCAGGCCTCTTCAATTCTGTTGCCTGCAGAAATCCATTTGGCAATACGCTTTGCCAAGTAGGCATCTAGCTTCTGTTTCAAGATCTGCTGAGCTTGTAACTTGCTACTTACAAAGGCAGCTACTGGCTAAAATCTGGCTTCTTGTGGGTGAACCACAGCAGACACTATTGGTTATCTACTCAGCAACCATTTCTAACGCCCTTCTCCCTTGCTACTTCCCATGACAGGGTCTGGAACACCAGATATTCATGCCCTTGGCTTCCCTTGCAGGTAGGGGTGACCCAATAATAAATGACCAATAAGATAAACAGCACTATGCAGGCGGTGTGGGCAAGCTCTGGCAAAGCTATTTTGATCACTTATAAAAGTAACAGATGGAAGAAGAAAGCTGCTGGCTCTTCTCCTCACCCCTTCTTCTTGTTTTAAACATGGGCAAGACACCTGGAGCTCTTGCCATCACTTGTGACCAAAAGCCAACATACTAAGCATGTCAGGCTGGAGAGCGAGAAAGCCTATGACCTCAGTGGTATAATTAAGCAGCCAACCAACCCTGAGCATGCTGCTACAGGCCTCGTGTGAACCAGAAATCCCCCGCGGTTTAAGACAGTGTCACGTGCAGCCAAGAGCATTCATTCCTAACTGACAGACACAGAACAAATCGCCCCGCCAGCCTGCAGACAGCGGGCGGCGGCGACACTGCCTCTCCTGCACCTTCCACCCCCTAAGCTCGACATCCCCGGTTTAGTCCTCATAGGACATGGTGTCCAGATTGAAGACTTCCCAGTTCATTCTCCCCAGCTCCATTCAGGCGTCCTCCCGGCCACAGTGACCCGCACGTGCTCCTTCCTTTACCCAAAGCGCTTCTCCTCCTGGAGCTCCACATCCCAAACCTCACTCATCCTCGGAGCCTCTGCTCAAATCCCACACCCTTCTGAAGCCCGTGTCCACGGATGAACTCCTTGCTCCCAGTTCTTAAAAGCGCTTAATCCTTCAAAGCCTCTCAGGGATGTGATCATTTCTACCTTTTAGTCATTGGTACAAATGCTTTATCATCCTCTCCCTTATACATGAGCACTGAAATTGCTCCTAAATAAGGGAGGAAACTGTGTCTTTTCTATCCCTGTATCATGCCTACCCAATTATTTCTGGGTTAGTTAAGTTCTCTAGCTCAGATTTCCCCTGCAAATGGAAACTGTACTCTTTTCCCCCATCTGGTAGCATCCTGGGACCCTTCACAGCGAACTGAGCACTTCTTTAGTGAAAAGTCCTGCATTAATTTCTCTCTCTTTCTCTCTCTCTCTCTCTCTCTCTCTCTCTCTCTCTCTCTCTCTCACACACACACACACACACACACACACACACACACACACCCTACAAGTCCATAAAACATGAAAACCATGGAAAGATTCAGCCAAGCATCTCCAATCCAAACTATTTGAGCAACACTCTCCTGCTCACAGAGTTTTCCTCATTCATTTCATCCAAGCCCGTCCAGGGCTGGGCTGCAGGAAAACAGTGGGCCTCCCAGGGAAACAGAAAGAGATCTGTAAGATTTTCAATCTTCCTTCCTGGAGATGTTTGTGAATAGCATCAGGGACCTTCTGTTGAGTGTGGCTCAGGTCTGGGGCCTGACCCACAGCAGATACAGGTAGCTAACGGTTCCTGGGGGGCCCAGGCTCACCGGAAGCAGTAGTTGGTGTCCAGGGCCCGCTTCTTCCTCTGACCCCCCTGGCCCGGGCCGTCGAGCCGGTGCGGGGGGATCATCATCAGGATGAGATGAGGGCTGTGGTGGTCCTTCTGCTTCTTGAGGCGTCCCAGGTCTCCACGGCCATGATCGTCCTCGTTGTCCACACCTGCAGAAGGGAAGGAAGGCGACAACCTCCTAAGGGAAGCAGAGCCCTCGGAGGCTCCTCATCCCCTCCTATCACTGCCCAGCAGGAGGGCGGCGCAGTCCATGAGGAAGGCGTCAGGGGCAAGTCCGGCTTCATTCCAACGTCCAGCTGCAGGAAGGGAAGACTGGGGGCGGAGGGGAACCAGCACAGAAAGAACTTATCATCGTCGTAAGGACACCCCTGAAAGAGGCCCACATTCCGATCCCCTCAGGACTCCTGCGGGGAAATCTTCCAAGGGGCAGAAAGCCCTACCTGAGATGCTCCCTGGGAATCTTCATAGGTCCATGAAGCATCATCACCAGGCGGGTACCTAACACATACCTTTGGGTTGTCAGTTTAGATTCTAGGCTTAGAACCTTGGGGTGTGAGTTTCCTCTTACAACTTGAATTGGTCAAAATACTGCAGAAGTCCTACTGATAATTTAAGGTATCACAATTTAAGACAGCCTGAAGGGGAGCCAAAGAAACAAACTCTACTGGGAGGCCGAGGCAGGAGCATCGCGTGAGCCCAGGAGACTGCCGTGAGCTATGACGACACCCCTGCACTCCAGCCTGGGCAACAGCGCAAGACTCTGTCTCTAAAAAAAAACTGAATAACATTCACATTGCACTTACAGTTTTTAAAGTGTTATCACTATAAAATTCAGACAAGATAATGAAGCAAATGACAAATAGCTTAGCAAACGAGCTCTGGAAAGGAAACCTGAATTCATCTGAACTGATTTCATCTGAAAGGGAAAGACTGAGGACCGAATCAGAGAAGCTCAACTAAACAGAGCTGGATTTCACAAGGGACAGCTGCCAGCTGCCGTCCACCTCCACCTAGGACAGGAATGTGAGGAGTTAATGTACTTAGCTACAGGGGGGACTTGGATCTCAAGAAGGGGGCACTAGGTCTGTGAGAGAAACAGGAGACCTGGATCTCAAATTCCCTTTTCTGAGAATTTTTATGAATGAGATTAAGTATTCGCTGAAGTGGGAAGGTTTTATCCTAACCTAGCCTATAGCTAAGGATTCTGAAGGTCTCCTGAGCTCTAAGGTTCTGTGATTAGGATGTCAAATCCTTGGCTTTTAAAAAAAAGGCTCTGGGCCAGTCAGTGGCTCACATCTGTAATCCTAGCACTCTGGGAGGCCAAGGTGGGAGGATCGCTTGAGCTTGAGCTCGGGAGTTCGAGACCAGCCTGAGCAAGAGCAAGACCCCGTCTCTACTAAAAATAGAAAAAAAAAAAATTAGCCGGGCATGGTGGTGCGCGCCAGTAGTCCCAGCTACTCAGGAGGCTGAGGCAGTAGGATCACATGAGCCCAGCAGTTTGAGGTTGCTGTGAGCTAGGCTGATGCCATGGCACTCTAGTGTGGGCAACAGAGCAAGACTCTGTCTCAAAAAATAAAAAAGAATTTTAAAAAATTTTAAAAAGGCTCTGAAATAGAGCCCATGAGGGTAAGAGGACTGCCTAAGACAGAGAGCCAAGAGAGGGCTGCACCTTTTCCCAGACAAGCCTCTGACCTCAGGCGTCCCTTAGTTACCCAAACTGGGAATACGAAAGGAAAAGAGAACTTTCCTCAACTCCAGATCATCAAAGCTGAATTCCTTGGAAATATACTGGAAAACCAGGAATGACTCCCAATTACTTCACCATCTCCATGCAAACACCGTGGACACACACTCTGAGCCTCGAACCAATCATCCAAATCCAGGTGACTCCTGGGCAAGGATCAGGCAGGCCCTGCAACATCTGGAAAGTTCAGTAGTCAGGGCACTCATGTTCAGGGCCACCTAAGTCAATTTCTTTTAGGGAAGAGGAAGACAACTCTTATTTGTTTGAGCATTTCTGGTACCGTGTTTTACATTCGTTATTTAATTGTATCCTCATCCCCATTTCACAGGGCCCAGAGAGGATGACCAGCTCGCCTACGTGACCCCACCGCTCTGGCCAGCATCATGTTGTCTTCCAGATGCTAATGCTCCTCTAGAGCTATGAGCTGGAAGTCAAGCTCATTGCTTTTGGGGCAAAGCAAAATTGCTCAAGTGCAAAATAGTTTGCCTTTCCCATGGTGGAGCACAGCTCCTTTTCTTGGGGTCTGGTAGGGGTCTCATCTTCTGGCCTGTCCCATTAACTCCCCCCCATCCTACCACACATGTTCATTTTTTTACCTTTGAATTTGATTTCCATCACCTCATGAATGTTTTCCAGGATATCTCCATTGGGCTGAAAGGTGTGACATGGACAGTGAATGCTGATTTCCAAACCTAAGTTGGACTCTGCAAAAGAAGACACAAAGGCGGTGAGAAAAGCACGTCTGTGTGCTGGGGAAGCTTGCCCATCACCCGCGCAAGGTGGGCCAGGGCCTCTGCTCCCACAGGTGCTCGCAGGAACTGAGTTAGACTGAGGTTCACGGGAGACAGAAAGTGCCTCCAAAGCTCAGAATGGACCCTTGTGCACATGGCGCCATATTCCATGTATTTCTGTTACATTATGAACAACCAGATCCCCATGAACAAGCAACATCATGAAGGAGAATTGGAATAGTCGTCTGTTTACAAAGGATGGTGTTAAGAGAAAACTCTCACCTGCCTACTTGGGGGTAAAAGGACAAGAATATAGGAGGAAAAGAAAAAAATTCACACCACCTAAGTGTTTATTGGGAGAGGAGATACTTGAGCCCACCTACTGAGGAAGGAGGAAGGGAAGAGGCAGAGGAATGGAAAAGACTAAGGAGAGGGAGTAACTTAGGAGGCCAGACACTCATTTCTGTAGTCTTAGCACTGTGGGAGGCCAAGGCAGGAGGATTACTTGAGGCCAGGAGTTCAAGACCAGCCTGGGCAACATAGCAAGACCCCATCTCTAAAAAAAAAAAAAACTTTTGTTTAAAAATTAGCCAGGCTTGGTGGTGCACACCTGTAGTCCCAGCTACTCAGGAGGCTGAGGCAGGAGGATGGCTTGACCCCAGGAGTTTGAGGCTGCAAAGAGTTATGATGATGCCACTGTACTCTAGTCTGGGCAACAGAGTGACACCCTGTCTCAAAAAAAAAAAAACCCAAAAAAGCAAAAAACAAAACAAAACAAAAAACCCAGTTGCTCCCTTCTTCCATAAATTCCAGAGCCCAACAAGATCTGTTCTGCTCCAAGAAGTCAGGGCAACCCCTGGGACATGCCAACACCTGTTGAGCATGAAACTCTGTTCCAAAGAGTTACTCAGGGGAAAGGCAGACCAACAAGGCAGCTGAGCCCCAGCGAGAGAAGAAGAAGTGAACAGAGAGGGAGGCATGAGGAGTGTCCTCTCCCTCGTCTAAGGCAGCTAGAAGAAAGAGCTGGAATATCTGAAATGGGCTACCTAACAACACAGTGTACTTCCCGTTCGAAGTGGTTCAAGGTGGACCGAAGAGACCTGGAGTGGGCAAGTTCTATGATTCTGTGAGTTAGAGAGTCAAGGTGCAGACGGCTGTGTTGGGGAGAGTGAGTGTTAAGGTACAGGTGGTGAGCAGGAGGTGAGCATGACCTAGATTGGCCAACAGGCTCTATCTAGGTAGAGGGCTCAGAGATGATGACAGCAATAGCCAACATCAAACCCTGCTGTGAGATTTTATCGGCATTAACTCATTTAATCTCTATAATAATCCTACAAAGTAAGAACCATTCTTATCCCCCCATTGTGCAGATGAGGACGCTGAGGCTTAGGGAAATTACATGGCTTGCCCAAGGTGTCCAACCAGTAGGTGGTAGTGCCAGGATTCCAACACAGACAGCCAGGAGCCCGCTGGCTATGGTCAGAGCTGGTTGGGGCCCTATCCAGGGTCACTGGGCACCCAGGTCCTCATACCCTTGTGAATCTAAGACCACATGTGTGACTCAGTTTCCTCATCAAACCACACCAACTGCTCCAATTTGGAGTCCATTTGCTGCCTGGTTTGGGGCTGAGAGACTCATGAGCTCGGTGTAAGTAAAGGCCTGTGCTATGACTCCCCTGTGGGAGGGGTGGGCAGTATTTGCCTAAGTGGGAACTGAAGGTTCCAATGAAGAACTAACCTCAGAATTGGCAGCCGTGGGGATGGTGGGTGGGGGACCCATAGGTTTTATTACGAAATTATCTTTTTGATGTCTCAGGAGGATGGAAATCATTCTCAATGCAAACTCCTCATTGAGTTCTGCAGCTGTGAAAATAAGAACTCCTTCAAGTGCCCAGGGCTTCAAAGAAATCCAGGTGGACCTGATCAAAATCAGACAGGGAAGCTAAGAGATTAATTTCCCCAGCCCCTCCTTTCTGCAGCGGTGTCGGGCTCCAGGCAGAGTGCCGTCTGAGTCAGAATCCCCAACAGTGCTGCTGCCGGCAGATCCACGTGGGTTAGCCTAGGCTTTTGCCTTCATGCTCATAGAAGGGACACGATGGAATTCCTGGGTACCCTTGGGACTGGGGCAGGACCTCCAGCCCACCAGCTGCCAACTCAGCCACTCAATAATGTCCCTTAGATGGGGGCTTGCAAATTCGGATGCCTACAGAGCCCAGGCAGGTCACGTAAGTGAGCAAATCGAGCCATCATGTGATGATAAATAGGAGTTGCCAACCTCACTCTTGGAGAACAGTGAGGACGGTGGGGGCTGTGGGGACTGAAGATGCACACCCCTCCTGAAGAGGTGGCCAGGACCACTTTCCTGGTGGGTGGTTACCAGGAAATCTTCCAATTTTTCAAGAAAAGCCAGAAGTCCAGGTTTTATGTGAAATCTCCTGACTTAAAAAAAAAATTGTTGACCACTAGCTAAATTTTAAAACAAAATGCAGGCCAAGCAGTTTGTGAGGCTGCCTTCCAGTCTTAACCCCTAGTTTCCTAAAACACCAAGGACATGGGAGGATCCCCCCTGCCTCAGTGACTCTGGGTGTCAATGTGTGGATGGCCTGTGGCTTTAAAGCAGCTGCTGATGGCAGAAAACCCTTCCTAAGAGGGAGAGGAGGGACAGATGGGACTGCCACGTGTAACCCACCTCACTGAGCAGCCAGACCAGGCAGTGCCAGCCAAGGAGAGGGAGGGAAACACAGGGCATAGTGTCAGCAGACGCCAAATCTCTGCTCCAGACTGCATGGCCTTGGTCAAGTCACTTCTCTGAGCCTCAGTTTCCTTGTCTGACATAATAAAAGCTCGCTCTTGTAAAATGTTGCAAGCTATGAAGTTCTCTCAGTTACATCTGATGCTTAAAACAGCTCTGTGAGGCATGCAGGCGAGTGACCATTACCGTATTTTCCAGGTGAGGAGTCAAACTGAGTGGGTAAGGCATCTGGGACATGTGACGCCTGCCATACCTACTGGATAGCTCTACTTGGAAGACTACCAGCCCCTTCAAACGGAATTGGCCAAGCCTGTTCTTCTCCCAGTCTTCCCTGTTTCAGTAAGTGATACCATCTGGATGGTCAGTCCAGCGGTTTGGAAGCCATCTGGGACTCATCTTGTGTCCTCACACCCCCCACCTCGTCAGCCAGAGCTATTGGCTCTACCTCCAAATACACAGCAAGCCACATAATCTCCACACCCACTGTTGCCACCCTCGTGTGAGCCCCTGTGCCCTCATCCGGGTAGCTGCAGTGGCCTAACTGGGCTTCCTGCCTCTTCCCTTGACCTCATGGCAACCAGAGGGATCTTTTAAAGATGTAAACCAAATTGCCTCACCCACATCCCCAGCCCTGCTGATAGCATTCCCACAGCTTCTTACCACACCTGGAACAAATCCTGAAACCTT